TGATCATTATAGAAATTTAAACATTGTTCTAGCAATTCTATACGATAAGTGCCATCCACCCATGTATAACCAGCTGCTAAGTTTATAAAAGCATTAACTATATCAACTTCTTTCTCCGCTCGAATTTCAGCATCCAGAGTATCCTGGCATAAATTGTAATCCTTTTCTAAAATACTTAAACCTTCCTTGCCAAGTTCTATTTGCTTTGTAGTGTTTTTAATATCACCAAAAGCTCTTGCAAGATTAAGCAAACTTTTCGCGAACAATGGATCATCATTTTTATATAACTTGGATTTAATGGCATGTGCTTCTTGAATAAGTTCCAAGTGTCGATGGTAATTTGTAGCATTCCGTTTAGAAAATGCAAGCAATGTGAGTGTTTCTGCATATGATTCGGTATTTTTGTCTAAATTAAATCTACAATACAAGTTAAGCAATAATTCTAAAAAAGTTTTTTGATCAAATCTAGTTAAATCATCATATATAGAACTTAACCGATAAATATGATTTGCCACAAAAACAATATCAATGTTCTCAATTGTTTGATCAGAAATAATCCAATCATGAAATTTAAGTAAAGTATGTCGGTATATATCCATCACTAATATTGACTCGGAATCACTTTTGTTAATCTCTATGTATTGGGAACATACTTCGATAAATATTTTAATAACAGGTAATCTAAGGTCATTAAATTCATGATCTAATAAAGCTTTGACAAAACTAGTTATTAAAATTGTTTCATTCTCACTTTTTAAAAACTTTAATTCGAATAGGTTTTGGAGGATTTGATTTGAATTTTCTTTCGAAAAGCCGCACTTGATTAAAATAAATAAAAAAAAAGCAGTAGGTGCTTTATCCCTTATAAGATATATGAAATAAAAAATGTTTTTTACTAAGTCTATATTATTTGAAATCGTAGAAATAAATGAAACCTTATTATAACAATATATAATGAAGGAATTAAGACAAGCATCATTTTTGAGGTCCGGATGGTTGATGCGAAATGTATCTTTAAGTGGTGATAAAAATGAACAATATTCCTTAATACTCTTCGATTCCGAAATAGAGATATAAGCAATTGCCATATCAATGGTGGTAGTGAATTGTCCCGATAGATCTAGCAATTGTTTAATTTCCTCTTCCGAAACATTGTCAATGGAGGATTTTAAGAGAGCATCTCTTAAATATTGTTCTGTATTAAATGTATTAAACGTAGATTCTAATTTTTCCACATTGAACAAAGCAATTTCCAACTTATCTTTAGGCACTAATTGTGTATGTATTTCATTTAATAAGTGCTTTCCATCATCTATTAATTCGGAATAATTATTAATTATTGCGATCAAATCAGGCCCATAAGCATTTCCTCTTTTTGATAATTCATCACTTTTTTGTTTATAGTTTACCACAAGTTGACTTAGCGCGTTTACAATTTGAGTGTTTTTATTATTATCAGATAAATATGCTATAATCTGCACTTCAAGAAACTTTTGTTCAATTTTTCTAATTTTTAAAATTTCTTTTAATGCAGTATAGTCTAAATGCTCGATTTCTTCTATTGGATAGGACGAATTAAGATTAACTATTTTGGTAGATATAGCATTGATGTGTGATAAAACTGATTTATAATTGTTTTGTGCCATTGCGGCTTCCAGAAAGCATGTAAGAGCATCTAGAAACAAGCTTGGTTGAATCATTTCCGCATATTGATAAAATTTTTCTGCGTATAATAATACACGTTCTTTATAATTGAAATGTTTACAAACTTCTATCAACTTTATTAATGTAGTTAAATGATCAATATAAATTTTAGGCAATTGTTCATATAGATCATACGCTTGTAATAATTTTTTTTCAGCAGATTCGTATTCCTTTTGAACCAAATCAAAAATAGCTAGTTTACAGTAAGCTTTTGCAAGGTTGCTGTGGCGTTCACCGAACTGTTTAGTGGTTATGTCGATGACTTTAAGTAATTTTTGCTTGCCTTCCTCTTGCTTATCATAATTTGCCCAAGTATCAAAGGCATCAAGATAAAATTCGATATGTTGCAATTGAAAAT